CTCCCTCCTCCTCCGCCTCGTCCTTCTCCCGCTCCCACCACAAGGAGGATGTACAAGGAGGCGGGAGGAAGGAGGAACAGGGGAGATATGCGGGGGCAGGCGGAAACACGCCTGAAAAACACGACTGTCGGCATGCTTCGCTAGAGTTGCTGTTTTGAGATGGGCTGGTGGGGATACGCGAAGCGTGAAGAATTACCCTGGCGACGTACCCAACCCCTGCGCAAAATCGGGGCGCAAATAGTTTAGGATACTTTATAAGGGGGCGATGACGGAGCGAGGGTTACATATGTCTGCAGACGGAATTCGGGAGACTCGCAGGACACTGGCTACAGGAAAAGGGCTTGGTAAAGCTGATGAGCTACAATTCCTGAGCACTCCTAGCCACTTCGAAAACGGGGATCACAGCAGGCCTCGAAAGTGGCGACAGTTTCACAGATCGCAGCCCCGCAAGGATGGCGGCGAGGTCTCATTTGGGTCCGCGCGTGGCGTCACTGTGCTGGGCCCCCCAGCAGGCCTCGAAAGTGGCGACAGTTTCACAGATCGCAGCCTCCAGGGGATGGCGAGGTCTCATTTGAATCTGCCCGTGGCGTCACTGCAGCAGGCCTCGAAAGTGGCGACAGTTTCACAGATCGCAGCCCCCAAGGGATGGCGAGGGCTCGTTTGAATATGCCCGTGGCGTAACTGTGCAGGGCCCCCCAGCAGGCCTCGAAAGTGGCGACAGTTTCACAGATCGCAGCCCCCCCAGAGATGGCGAGGTCTCATTTGAATCCGCGCGTGCCCCTCACTGTGCTGGGCCCCCCAGCAGGCCTCGAAAATGGCGACAGTTTCACAGATCGCACCCCCCCAGGGATGACAAGGTCTCATTTGAATCTGCCCGTGGCCCTCACTGTGCTGGGCCCCCCAGCAGGCCTCGAAAATGGCGACAGTTTCACAGATCGCACCCCCCCAGGGATGGCGAGGTCTCATTTGAATCTGCGCGTGGCCCTCACTGTGCTGGGCCCCCCAGCAGGCCTCGAAAATGGCGACAGTTTCACAGATCGCAGCCCCCCAGGGATGGCGAGGTCTAATTTGAATCTGCCGTGGCCCTCACTGTGCTGGGCCCCCCAGCAGGCCTCGAAAATGGCGACAGTTTCACAGATCGCAGCCCCCCAGGGATGGCGAGGTCTAATTTGAATCTGCGCGTGGCCCTCACTGTGCTGGGCCCCCCAGCAGGCCTCGAAAATGGCGACAGTTTCACAGATCGCAGCCCCCCAGGGATGGCGAGGTCTAAGTCCTCACTGTGCTGGGCCCCCCAGCAGGCCTCGAAAATGGCGACAGTTTCACAGATCGCAGCCCCCAGGGATGGCGAAGTCTAATTTGAATCTGCGCGTCGCCCTCACTGTGCTGGGCCCCCCAGCAGGCCTCGAAAATGGCGACAGTTTCACAGATCGCAGCCCCCCAGGATGGCGAGGTCTAATTTGAATCTGCGCGTCGCCCTCACTGTGCTGGGCCCCCCAGCAGGCCTCGAAAATGGCGACAGTTTCACAGATCGCAGCCCCCCAGGGATGGCGAGGTCTAATTTGAATCTGCGCGTCGCCCTCACTGTGCTCAGGCCTCCCCAGCAGGCCGAGGTCCCCCTCAGGCCCCCCAGGCCTCGAAATGGCGACAGTTTCACAGATCGCAGCCCCCCAGGGATGGCGAGGTCTAATTTGAATCTGCGCGTCGCCCTCACTGTGCTGGGCCCCCCAGCAGGCCTCGAACATGGCGACAGTTTCACAGATCGCAGCCCCCCGCAGGCAAGACAGGAAGAGGCAGGGAGGGAGGAGGAGGAGGAAGGAAGGAGTGGAGACCACACTGCTCTATTCAAAACGAATACCCAACCAAGGAGGGTTGGGAAATATATGAATTTGACTATACAATTATATATATATATATATATATGTGTATGTACTTATACACATGCATGCATTCATACGTACATACAAACATACATACATGCATGCATACATACATACACATGTATGTATGTACGTATGTACGTATGTACGTATGTACATATGTATGTATGTATGTATGTATGTAGGTATGTAGGTATGGATGCATGTGTGTATGTATGCATATATGTATGTTTTGTTTGTTTTATGGAAGTATGTATGTATGTATGTATGTATGTATGTCTACCTATATGTATGTATGTATGGATGGATGTATGTATGGCTGTACGTATGTATGTATGTATGTTTGCTTGTATTTAGTTATGTATGTATGTAAGTGTGTATAAACACTTATGTGTGCATATGTGTGCTTTGTGGTACCCTCACATGCTTTGTGTTGTTGGTTGTTGTATTGGTTTTGATGGGTACTCTCACAAGGTTCGTGAAACAAAACGTGTTATTGTTGTGTATGATTGTAGTGTTCGGGTCTTCAGTCTGCCTGGGCGGATCGGGGCTGGACAGGCCTGGAGAAAGACCGAAGGCCCGAAAACCATGAACGCTTGCTTGTTACCCTCGCATGCTTTATGCCTGGTGCTTTCTAGGTCATCCTCCTCCTCCTCCTCATCATCCTCCCCCTCCCCCACCCTCACATGCATCTTGGACCCAAGACGCTGTCTTATTGCGTTTTGTAATGCGGATGTCTTATTGTTTCAAAGCGTGTGGAGTTATGCTGGCTTCTGAGTGCTGACTCATGTGTAGCAAGCGGTGCTTCGATTGTAGAGGTTGTTTGGATGTCTATGGTTAGTAAGTGCACGGACGTCTGGTTGTTTGATTGTAGAGGCTTCCTCTCAGGTGAATAGGAAGATGACGAGAAGGAGGAGGAATACAAGAGGAGGACGAGGATGAGCATGAAGAGGAAGACAAGGGGCAAGAAGAGGAAGATGATGCTGATGATGCGGGTGATGGTGATGATGGTGGTGGTGATGATCATGATGATGAGGATGAAGAGGATGAGGAGGATGAGGTGGAGGAGGACGAGGAGAAAACCTCAAGCCACATGGGCTTAAATCTCACCCTGACCACCCCCTGGGATACAAGAGATGGACGAAGGATGAAGAAAGACGAGGAACGAGGAAGACGACACACGGCTGACGGGGGCGACCCCCGCCCCTGCGCCGCTCCTTCGCCTTGAGCAGCTCGGCCTGGGGCAGCAAAAGGCGGCAGGCCGCGTACGGGACGAGCGGAGGCGAGCCAGAGGAGCGAAGAGGAACGAACGAACGAACGAACGAACGAACAACCACCAATGCGGCCAGCAGCCCGTGCCTACTTGAGACCAGGTGAGTGGGACCGTGGCCTCCAGAAGTGGCAGCTCGTCTCTGGGTAAGTGAATAGCCTTAACAGAATCCATTTGCGGACTGTTTCGTTCGTGTCTGGTTGCAGGTCCTTGGCATTTTGGAAGCTCGTCTTGGCTTGCCACTGGCGGGTGACCTTGGTGACTTGGGCATGTCCCTGACGCAAAGACGATGACGAAATGGTTCGATTCGACCCGTCTTGAAACACGGGCCAAGGAGTCTAACATATGTGCGAGTCCACAGGTGGTAAACCTCCCACTTGGGAATGGAGGTCAAATTGGGGCGCTCAGGTTGGAGGAAAAGGAAGAGGGGGAGAAAAGGAGGAGGAGGAGGAGAAGGAGGAGAAGGAGGAGGAGGAGAAGAGGAAGGGGAGGAGAAGGGGGGGGAGAGTTAGGAGGCAACTCCTGGGAGGTCTCCGCAAGAACGTCTACGAGGCAGGAGATCCCGAGTCAGGAGCCCGCGAGGCGGATTCAGCTGGGCTGCGCCCGATATTAAACCCGACTAAGCCAGAGCTAAGGAGCCCAGAAAGGACGTACGCGCCAAGCTATGTACATGAACACGGCCCCTCGATCCGCGAGACTGGCCGCGTGATACGAACACATGCGGGTAATGCGTACTCCCGAAACCAGTGTGGATTCATGTATGTGTACGTCCTTCTTTCGCTCCTGAAGAGCGCAAGCAGGGATGAAACGTGATTAAGCAGGACCGTCCCTGATCAGGCTGACTTCGACCACGGACGCGCTGATGAAGTGAACATCGCAAGGGGAGAGAGGGAGAAGGAAGCGCTGATGCTGAAGTGAACACCGCGAGGAGAGAGGGGGAGAAGAAGGGAGGGAGAGGCACAAATCCCCGGCGACGAAATGGTTTCCATCGTGGATGTTTCCCTCGGAGTCGGTCTCGGCGGCCCGCCATCGGGGCCATCCAAGAACGGGTACCCGGGGTGGAAAGCTATCCCCAGGAAAGGGGTCGGGACCTCGGGAGTCACGCGTTGAAACAAACACAATATCAGATCATATGTATATATACATATATGTATGACAAATAATCGAAGAGATCTGGGCCAACTTCCCAGAAATGTCTGCAACTGACCTGGGCCAACTTCTGTTGCGAACGCTGGAGGGGCGAACGTTCTCCAGACACCGGGCCAGCTTCCTGGCAAGTTGGGTAAGAGACGCTGGTCCAGCTTTTAAGGAGGAGGTTCCTCAATCAGAGGTTCGGCCGTAGGACGAGGCAGCACAGATGGAAGGGGGGGGCAAAGCAGAGCGGGTCAGAAGTGTCTTTTGCCCTCAGCACTGTTTGTTGTCCTCAGCACTGTTTGTTTGCCCTCAGCGAACAGAAGAAAGCTCGAGGGATGGGGGCAAGGTGGAGCGCCAGACCTTCAACGTGGCCCTGGAGACCAGCCGAACCAGTGTGAGCCTCCGCGGACCGCAGATTCCTTATCATTGCACGGGAGAAGAAACGATAACACTATCTCTCAAACTCCTTTTCCTCTTGTCATACCCTGATTGGAATTAGGTCAGTGACCCCGCACGAATGTGCACAATCGTATCTCGGATTGTTTCGGGATCATTTGCAAGATCAGGGGAGGATTGCCCAAATTTCGATTGGATGGTCACCCGATGTTCAGCCAGTACATGTGTTTTGCCACCGTCTGTTTCGTCAGTGTCAACCCGGGAACAGGTGACGAATGCATTCGGTCACGAATTACCAGTGAGGCAAGGGGGGGTAAATTGTCCTGCGGCCCTGTAATAATTTGGCGCCACGCGCCTACGTAGTTGACTGGCCCGCGCACCAGAACGAGCAGCAGCGCAATCAACAAGCCGTCCTGATTCGTCTGTCAACAGATAAGAGCTCAGTGGCAGCAGGGCTTCAGCCCAGATCGTTGCGCGTGCAAGAGCAATCATGCTGCCTGCATGCTGCTTTGAAATTACGTAGAAGTAATGCCACCATTGCTTGTCTACCAGATGATATCTGGGACGCCACTACCCTAGTCTCATGGGGACAACGAGAAAAGGCAGGGAGCTGTCGAAAGGCTTCACCAGCGAGTTTTGGTCAGATGTGCTTGGCAACGGGGGGAGTACAGGAGGAAGGAAACACGAAAACCATCAGGAAGACGAGGAGAAAGAGGACGAGTGGGACGAAACGACGGCGACCACCCCCGCAACAACATCAGCATCATCATCATCAGTATAATCTGCATCATCAACATCATCATCACCATCAGCATCATCATCACCATCCTCAGCATCATCAGCATCAGCATGCCCATCATCACCATGCCCCTCCTCTCCTGATCCCTGACTTTGGGCATAGCTGCTGCAGAGGCGAAGCGAGCTCCAACCGACGCGACCAATTGAGGCCCACGCGTTGCTCGTCGCGTCGTAAGAGCTCTCCCCCATCGCCGAAGACATCGATTCTGAAACCTCCGCGCCAGCATGAATGGGCAGCAGTAGGAGCATGAGTAGCAGAAGGGGGGGGACGACGACGCGACGACGACCAGCGAACGTGGATCCGAGGGGCAAGGCGATGAAAAACCGAACAGGGACGAGGATGATGAGCGATGAACAGCAAGACGAAGGAGAGAGGCTCAGGAGAGCCCAGAACCGAATCGATAAGTCGGCTATGCAATCGAAAGCAATCGGATCGGCGGGCATCGACAGCCGAGTCGGGGAACATCGAATCGGCGGAAATCGGCAGGCTTGTAGGCCTCCATGAAGAAATCGGAGCCCAAATCGGAATCCGATGTCGAATCGAATCGGAATCGGAAGCCATCGAAATCGAACCAAATCGAATCGGAAGAGTCGAAATGAGCCCTGGGGAGGCCCTCGAGACGCCAAAAGCCTTGGTGGTTCCCCCTGTGGGTTTGCAGAGTTCTCCGCGTTCGGTCGAAGGCCGGCGCCCTTGCGCCCTGCGAGGGCACCACGGCGACCACTGAGAGCCCAGAGAAGACCCAGGACGGCCCCTCGACCGCGTGAGGGCACCCGTCGGTCGGCAGAAGTAGGTAATTATCCTGGCGAGGGACCCAACCACAGTTGAGAGTACAGTCGTTGCGGGTATCGTCTTCGGGGGATCTCCTCATGGGGCCATGAAGCATGCGAAGGGTGTGCCGATATGGGGTGAGGCCGCCATGTGGGCACTGCCACAAATTCTCAGGTGGAACCCACTACGGAACCCACCATGGGGTATACCGTAATGGGCGGGGAAGGCGCATGCGGACGCCGCAACTGGGGCTTTGAGCTCCCCTTGGGGCCACGAAACCCTGTATTGAATGGGGGAGACGCATGCGAACACCGCCACTAGGGCCTTTGGTGGAGCAACGTATAGGGCTACGAAACGCTTTACTGGGCGGGGGAGGCGCATGCGAACACAACCACTGCGGCCTTCGGTGGAGCCCCCCAGGGGCAACGAAACGCTGTACTGAGTGGGGGGCACGCATGCGAACACCGCCACAGGTGCCGTCGGTGGAGCTCCCTATGGGCCACGACATGCTGTAGTGGGTGGGGAGGCGCATGCGAACACCGCCTCTGGGGCCTTCGGTGGAGCTTCTTTTGGGGCAGCGGGCAGCTATACTGGGTGGGGGAGGCGCACGCGAACACCGCCACTGGGGCTGTCGGTGGAGCCCCTCTATGGGGCCACAAAGCGCTGTATTGGGTGGGGGGACGCATGCGAACACCGCAACTGAGGCGTTCGGTGGAGCTCCCGATGGGACCACGAAACGCTGTAGTATGTGGAAGAGACGCATACGAACACCGCCACTGAGGATTTCAGTGGAGCTTCCTACGGGCCACGAAACGCTGTACTGGGTTGGGGAGGCGCTGGCGAACACTACCACTGGGGCCTTCGGTGGAGCTCCCTATGGAGCCACGAAGCGCTGTACTGAGCGGGGGAGACGCAGGCGAAAACCGTCACTGAGGCCTTCGATGGAGCTCCCTAGGGGCCACGAGACGCTGTACTGGGTGGTGGAAACGCATGCAAACGCCGCCACTAGGACCATCGGTGGGGCACGAAACGTGTGAGGGGTGTGCCGACATGATGACGGTGGAGGAAGAGGAGGAATATTGAGGAGAGGACAGGAGGAGACACGCGGCGCTGTCTCTCCAAAACGAGGACCAAACACCACAGGATGGTTGAGATAGAAGGGCGGATGAAGTAGATTGGGCCCAGGCCCACCCAGAGATTAACGCAATGCATGATAGATGTAGATATACATATATATGTGTATACCTGTATGTGTATAAATATATGTGTATATATATCGATTCTTGAAATTAGAAGGCGCTTGAAATAGGTTGGGATCAGGGGATCCCAAAATACCTACTTTCAACGACCAGCGTGTACCAGTGTCCCCTCCTCTAGACGACTCTGCTGAGGATGCCAGCGCCGACCAAGGAGCACGGGGCGGGTGCGTGAGCTCTGGCCCAGCCCCCCGTGGGGAGGAACAAAAGCGTGGCAGAGGTCGAGACAGGCGCGGTCTCTCTTGGAAGGCAATCAGGGGGCGTTGGGCTTGTCGTTTGTGGCTCGACACGCACACAAGACCAGAACATGTGCCCGACCCCAAACAATGGTGGACGCACAGGAACATACTAATACTATATGTCCTCATTGGAGGCACGCGTCCGACACAAACACATAGTATATCTATCTTGTAGTATATCGTTTCCCGAGCGGTGTGGCCAGACAGTGCCCGCCACGACACATGTAATACACGATTTCTCGGTGCGCGCGTCGCTCCTGAGGGCACGACGCACATTTAGTATAAGTGTGTTGGGATGACACCGAAATAAGCTGTTGCACTTGGTGTGAGTGTGTGTGCAACCTCTACACGTATATACATAAACACAGGCAGGGCGAACACTATGCGGTGCAACATGTGTGGCGCACGTGTGCGGTGCAACGTAGATGTTGCAAGCTACGTGGTACAATGTTCCTATACGGCGAAATAGAATGCAATAATTGTGGTGAAAGCAATGTAGTGCCATGTACGTGAAGCTGCCTTGCAGCAGATGTGTACACAACGATACGAATGGACTAGAACCACGCGCGCACTTCGCGCGCGCTTAGGTTCTAGTCGGGCCCGAAGAACTCGCATCGCAAGTTGCTAGTGCAAACTGGAGGGGCGATGTGGGAGGGCATTCGAGATTGGTTTATGGACCTGCGGCAACTCGACTGGCGATTCTGGCAACGAGCAGGGACCTCTTGAACGTGCAGAGGTCTCTTGAAAGGCTCGTCGATGCGGCTTGCGTCGCTCTGGTCCCGCCCCCCGGGGACCGGAGTGGGAGGAACCGAACAGAGAAGATGGGTGCTCGAGCCGTGATCCACAGTGCACGCCACCATGGGCGCTCCAGAGTGCATCGAAAACCGCCCCCCCTCGGGTCACGCATCTGCGGCCAAGGCATGGTTCACCGAAGTGAAGAGAACCTCTCAAGTTGCATCCGCGGGGCCTCAAGTTCGATGGCTTCGGTTCTCGGGGACTTTAGTGAGGAGCTTTCCCAGACGCATCCAGCCGTCTTCGGGACATCCGACAGTCCTTGGACGCATGCTTGAGATGACTGCGTGGGAGCAGTGTCAAAACTGCTTGGGGAATTTCCTAGGCAATATTGGAAATCACTTGGGATCGTTTGGGGGACTCCTTGAAGATCCATTGGGCTGCCTTGGGGCTGCTTGGGGGCCTCTTGGGTCCGTGTCGGAACCGCCTTGGGCCTACATTGTTGAAGGGGAACTGGGACACACAAATAAATACACACAAATAAAAATATCCCCCATATTTTCCTATATTTTCTGGGTTTTTGTTTTCCCCCCCACTTCCCATATTTTCCCATATTTTCTGGGAATCGCCGATTAATTGTGTCTGTGTGTTTTTTCCCCTCTTGAATTGTGCAATCCTGCATCTCTTCGGCCGTGTTGACGTCTTCGGGGGGCTCCTTGTGCCTTCCTGGGCTGCCCCGGGTGCCTTCTTGGGCCGTCTTGGAGCTCTCTTGGGCGAATCGGCTCGGGACGCCCAAGATACTCCAGGCCGTCAGACCGCAGCCACGACCGCGGGGTGCACTATTGGGGCCGGATCGTCCGTCTTGGACGAACAGAGGCTGGAAAACCGGGTATGCCAGAAGCAAAAACCAAGAAACAGCAGTATTCCGTTCTGCCTGATGAATATCTCTTGGAAGCGTGATCGGAGGCCTCTCGGGATCGGAGAGCATCTGCGCTCGAAGCCGCACACGAGGGCAGGGGCCCGCGAGCGCCAGAGTACGATCCTGGTCCTCAGCCTGCTCCTCCTGCTCGTGCGCCTCCTCCTTCTCCCTGGCACTTCTCATCGAAGGATTGCAAAACAACCCTTGATTGCAAAAAACAAAAAACCTTTTTTTACAATCCTGCTTTTTTTTGCAATCCTGGTTGTTTGCAATCCTGGGTATTTTTGCAATCCTTTTTTGCAGGGTTTTTTGCAATCCTGTTTTTTTTGCAATGACCAGCAGCATCACGGCTGCATACCCATCCTGCCCTCTCTGGGTCGTGGGCAGACGGCTTCTCGGGGGCCTCTGGGGGCCTCACGGGGGGGGCGCCTGCTGGCCTACCGGCGGTCGCCAGGCTGCTCTTTTGGGGCCTCTCGGGCCGCGTGCCCACACCACGGAAAAGGGCGGCTACGAAGGATTGCAAAAAAACCCTAGGATTGCAAACCAAAAAAACCATGCTTCGTTGAAGGGAGGATTGCAAAAAAAACCATGCTTCGTTGGAGGTGTGACAGGGAAAGGGCTGCAGCATACACACTTGCCTGAAAGGTGTCCGCTGGAGGTGTCCAAGCACCCGCGGGACCTCTTCGGGGACTCTTTGGGCCTCCTGGAAGCCTCTCCGGGGCCTCGTGACGGCCTCGTGACGGCCCCTTTGAGGACCTATTGGGGGCCTCTTGGGGCCTCTTGGGGCCTCGAGGGGCCTCTTGGGAGCCTCTTGGTGCCTTTTGGGCCCTTCTTGGGCCCTCTCTGGACCCTTTTGGGGCGCTCGTGGGCCGTTTTGGGGGTACTTGGCGTCGCCTTGGGCCCTCTTGGGGGGTCTCTTGTGGGGCGATTTGGGAGGGCTCTTGGGCCGACGCGGACTGTGTCGAGACCCCAAACAACAAAAACTCGAAATTAGCCGGGGGAAACAACACCAAACCATATGCACTTGTGAGCAGTGCAGTTGTGAACATCGTCTTCGGTCGAGCTCCCTATGGGGCCACGAAACGTGTCTGGGGTGTACCGAAATTGGCGCGGTGGACGAATGCGAACGTGTGTGAGGGGTGTGCCGAAATGGGTGCGGTAGCGCCATGCGGGCGCAACCATTGGGCCCTTCGCAGGGCCACGCAGCGTGTGAGGGTGTGCCAAAATGGGCGCGGTAGTGCCATACTAACGCAGCCTCTGTGGCCTTCTCTTGAGCTCCATGTGGGGCCACGAAACGTCTGATTGGCTTACCGAAATGGGCGCGGCGGTGCCATGCGAGCGCAGCCACTGGAGCCTTCGCTGGAGCTCCCTGGGGGGCCACAAAACGTGCGAGGGGTGTGCCGAAATGGACGCGGTGGTGCCATGCAAACGCAGCCACTGGGGCCCTCGGTGAAGCTCCCTAAGCATGAGGCAAACGAATGATGTTGGCTTTCTCGCTTCTTCGTGTCCGACGGGCTTCTGGGGCCTCAAGCCGGCTCCGAGACGGAACAAGAGCGCTCCAAGGTAGGCCCAAGAGGGTCCCAGCACGGCCCCGAGAGCGCCCAAGGGCGCCCCAAGAATGCCCCAAACGTCAAAGGCCTCCGAAGCTGACCCAAGGGGGACACAAAATGATCCAGGTAAGCTGCCAAGAGGCTCACACATCGAAAGATCCGCAAAAAGAGGAGGAGGAGAAGGAAGAGGAGGAAGGAGGAATAGAGAGGAGCGAAGAGGAAGAAAGAGGAAAACGAGACTGTGGACCAGGACGGGGTGCTGCAGACCTCTCCAGTTCGGCGCCTTGTCTGATCTTGGGCGGACCTCACAGCGCCGGACGGGAGTCTTGAAAATCCACGCCCAACGCTCCGCGGGATCCTCGGGGGCACGCCTCCGGGTCAGCGGCCGTGGATAGATTCCTGGCGTGGGCCACCTTTCGCAAAACGACCTCCGAGGAACCACCGTTCGCAGAACAGCCTTTCGCAGAGCAGCCTCTCGCAAAACAACCTTCCACGAAAACAGGACCACCTCTCGCGGAACAGCCTTTCGCAAGCCAACCTCTCCCGCCGTCTTGAACAAAAACCATCCCTCCTCCATAATTTCTGTCCCGATCCTGGCGGTCCGAAAGGGTGGAATACGTAATGCTCGGTTGGCTGCAAGTGCTATCCAAGTTCGTCTCGTCAAAAACTAAGGGCGAAAATAAAAGTAATCTCAATCGACTTTCAAATTCTGCCTTCTCCCCCCGCTCTTCCCCACGCCGCGCCATGCGGGCGCCTCGGGCGGCCCCACGCCGCGCGGGCCGGGCGCGCCCCCCCTGCCGGGCCATGCGGCCAGGGGCCTCAAACCATCGCCCTGCCACCCTGCGGTGTTCCGCCCCCCGCGGCCAGCCCCACCGATCACAGCTTGAGCAGGGACCGACCGTCCCAGCAGCTCTACAGGCCTACCACGACATGTTCTTAGAACCCCAGAGTGTTCCGAGAACAAGAGCAGCGTTCTTAGAACAGGAGGCGGACGTGTCAAAACAAGACAGTCCCAGCCAGAAGCGTTCTGAGAACATTTCGTGGAAACCCACACACCAACTTCTCAGAACATTGTTTGGTAGGCCTATAGTCGGGCATTGGCAGAACTGGGTTTAGTGGAACCTGGTTTAGTGATTTGTGCTGGGGGCGCCCCCCCGCCCCATTTCCACTAACCGGAACTGCCGTCACCCGAAAAACACCAGTTACGGCAAAACTGGTCTAGTGAATCTGGCCAATTGAAGGGCCCCAGGGCCCTACCACTGACCGGGTCCCCTTACCTGGGGTCCTCGCTATACCCGACTGTAGGCACACCAGGACGCTTCGCCACTGCTCGAACACCTGGAGGCCCTCCCAGAGCCCCTCCCTCTCTCCCTCCCTCCCTCCTCCCTCCTCCCCCCTCCCTCCCCCCCCCTCCCTCCTGCCTCCTCCCTCCTCCCGAGGCCCAGCCCGGCCGGCCCCTCGGGCCGCGATCCCGGCCGTGGCGGCCAGGGCCTCTGCAGGACGACGCCCAGAAGAGCCTCCGAAGGTCCGTCGCCGTCGCCGTTGCCGTGGCCGTAGCCGTCGCCGTCGCCGTCGCCGTCGCCGTCGTAGCCGTCGCCGTCGCCGTCGTAGCCGTCGCCGTCGATCGTCGCCGTCGCCGTCGCCGTCGTGGCCGTCGCCGTCGTGGCCGACGCCGCCCCACAGCAAGCGCGGCTGCCGGCGCTGGCTGCGGGGGCCCCCGCGCGGCGGCGGAGCGCGCCTGGGAGGAGGGGATCCGGGACGCCGCGGCGTGGGGGCAGGCCGCACGCTGCGCGGGGCGCGGGGGGGTGCGGCGGGAGGCGTGGCCCAGCGAGGGCTGCCCTGCAGCAGTGGGTGCACGCTCGCATCGTGCTGCCGCGGGGGGGGCGCGGAAGCAGGGACCGAGGAGCTGCTCTGGCCACGGCGAGCCGAAGCCACGAATAGGCTCAAGTCGGGCGTGTTCCCCTGCAGGGGGATTTTGGGCGAACAATAAAAATACGCCAAAAATGCCCCCCAAGTGGGCAGAAATAGTCGGGAAAATCGTCCCCAGACTATTCGTGGGCTATTTTGCATACTCCTCCTGTAGAGGGACAGGCCCGACTTCAAAGCTTGGTCAATAGGCTTCCCGAGCCAGACTTGAGGAACGGCCAGGCAGGCAGGGCCCCTCCTGAGTCCAAACACGTCGTTACTTCAGCGCTCCGGCTGTACGGGATCCGCGCGGGTTTCAGTACGAGGGCCAGTGCGCTCAGGCCATCGAGGCGTGTTCACACATGGCGCGCGTCGCCCATGGGACGCGGCTGCGGCCATCTGATGCGAAGCGATGCTGGGCACGAGCATGCAGAGGCAGGGTGTGCTGGAAGCGCGCTTGCAGGAACAATGAGGGGGCAGATGCGGACACAGCGCGCCCCCTCCCCTCGCTCGCCTCGCCCCCGAGGTGGAAGGGGAAGCGGAGGAGAGACGGGACGGAGGAACGAGGACCAGCGGACTGGCGAGGGAGGGGGAGCAGAGAGCGGCAGCAGCAGAGGCAGCGCCGTGTTCCTCCAAAAACGGCAGCAGGACGCAGGCCGCTCTCAAAGACGAGGCGTGCCAGCGAGTGGGCCCCGAAAGCAGCGGGCCCTTTCCGGCGTGCAGGCCGTGCGGCGCAGAGCAGAGCAGCGCAGGGCGACGCGCCGAACGTGAACGTCCGCGGTCGTCCCACGGGCAGGAGATAGGGGAACAAGAAGTGGCATAAACATAACAACTCGGAGGTCCGCGCGGATTTCTCGGATCGGCGCTGGACCCCCTCCCTGGCGCGCGGAGCGCGCCAGGGGCGGCGCCGGAGGCGCCGCCGGGGGACCCAGCGCCGATCCGAGAAACCCGCGCGGACCTCCGAGTTTTTATGTTTATGCCACTTTTGGTAGGGAGCCCACAAGGGACGTACGCGCCCAGCTATGTACATGAACACGGCCCCTCGATTCGCGAGACCGGCCGCGTGATACGAACTTTCGGGCAACGCGTACTCTCGAAACCAGCGTGGATTCATGTACGTGTACGTCCTTCTGTCGCTCCCGATAGGAGAGCCCAGTCGGATCGGCAGGTCGGGTCGGCGATTGCCAGTAGGCGGGTCTGCGGAGATCGGCGGCCGGGCGGGGAGAGGTCAGGCCTCGGCGGAGGTCGGCGGGCCAACAGAGCCCCTCCTCCTCCTCCTCCTCCTCCTCCTCCCTCCCTCCTCCTCCTCCTCCTCCTCCTCCCCTCCCCCTCCTCCCTCCTCCTCCTCCTCCCCTCCCCCTCCTCCCTCCTCCTCCTCCTCCTCCTCCTCCTCCTCCTCAGACCTCGGAATCGGGATCGGAGTCCGACGTCGAAGCGAATCGGAACACGAAGCCATCGGCATCGAGTCGGATCGAGTCGGGGGAGTCGAAATGAGCCCTGAGGCAAGGCACCATTTCAGACGGACGCCCGAAATGGGTACGGAAACATGGCAAACTGACCAACAGCACAGGTTGTCCAAAAACCGACGGCGGCCGCTGTCGGGCAGGCGGCTTTGTCTTGCACGAACAACGTCCGCGGCGGCGCGGGCAGCGAGTCCTGTTCAAAATGGACAGGGAGTGCTGTTGGGCACCGTACCCATTCTTCCCGTACCCTCAGTAGTGACATTCTACTGGCGAAGCTTTCGGCGACAAAACGCAAATCAAAACATGTCGGAGCTTCGGTTTTGTTTCCTGGTGGGCGCAAGACCTGACGTACCCATTTCGATCGTCCCGAATAGAGCACCACCCATTGGGGCCACCACCCGGCAGCGGCCGACCTGCGGCCCAGACGGGACCACCATATGGTCGCCACCAGCCGCAGAGCACCGGCCTGGCACCCCGCCATCGCTCGGGCGCCCGCTTCCCGTGCACTCTTCGGCCCTGTGCTGCTAATTCTTCTCGCATGGTGCCCCAGGGTGCTCCTCGAGGGTCCTCGCCGAAAAAAGATGCACACGTCCGAACGATGCCAAGGCACGGCCGACTGCGGCACAAAGATCAAATGCAAGGCGCCGGCGCCGGCGCCAAGCTTCGAAGACGGGACTGCACGTGCCAGCCTTCACGCAGCTGCGGAGTCATGTGGGGCTTTCTTGCCAGAGCCTCTGTTTCCCGTTCCGCAGCCGTTTCGGGGTTTCAGCTTTGCCCCGCCGAGGACGACGGCGCTACTGAGCTGCACCTAGCGTTTGAGAGTCGTCCTACTCAAAGACGGCACTGACCAGGAACGGCCCGGCCGACTGCCGACCGGGAGCGGCCGGATGACTGCGCCGAGCCGGGGCCGAAGCGGCACGGGCCATGCTCCTGCTCAAGGTGGCCCATGGGTGCCCACGGCGGAAGGTCTTTGCTCCATTGCGGGCCCCCGGGCCGTCAAAGATCTGGACGTCGGGAAGGGGTGTGGCATAAAGGGGCATGGTTCGGAAATCAGCACCACACCCGTTCATATCAAAACCGACTCAGGATGCAGAACCGGCCCCAGGGGAGGAGGGAGGAGGGAGGAGGGAGGAGGGAGGAGGAGGAGGGAGGAGGGAGAGAGGAGGAGGAGGAGGAGGAGGAGGAGGAGGAGGAGGAGGAGGAGGGAGGAGGAGGAGGAGGAGGAGGAGGAGGAGGAGGAGGAGGAGGAGGAGGAGGAGGAGGAGGAGGAGGAGGAGGAGGAGGAGGAGAGGGGAGGAGGAGGAGGAGGAGGAGGAGGAGGAGGAGGAGGGAGGGGAGGGGGGAGGAGGGAGGAGGAGGGAGGAGGAGGAGGAGGAGGAGGAGGAGGAGGAGGAGGAGGAGGAGGAGGAGGAGGAGGAGGGAGGAGGAGGAGGAGGAGGAGAGGAGGAGGAGGGGGAGGAGGAGGAGGAGGAGGAGGAGGAGGAGGAGGAGGAGGAGGAGGAGGAGGAGGAGGAGGAGGAGGAGGAGGAGGAGGGGGAGGAGGAGGAGGAGGAGGGGAAGGAGGAGGGGGGAGGAGGAGGAGGAGGAGGAGGAGGAGGAGGAGGAGGAGGAGGAGGAGGAGGAGGAGGAGGAGGAGGAGGAGGAGGAGGGGGAGGAGGAGGAGGAGGAGGAAGATCTCTGGGAAGCCACGCTGCAAAAGCGTCGGACGCCTGGGGATGGCGAGCGGCGTTGAGAGCCCGGCCCGCCGCTGGCCGAGCGGATGGGCAGCACCGCGCGCGCCCTCAGGTTCATCCCCTGCTGCTCGGAGGCGCCTTGACGACCAGCGAGATGTTCCCTGAGATCCGACGCTCCAAAAAAATTGGAGCGGGCGGTTTTTGCTAGTTTTCGGCCTCCGGGAGCCCTCGCCGGGCCTCGGGAGCGTCAAAAAACGACTCAGGACGAAAAACCGGTCCCAGGGAAGTGGTCCAGACCTCCTGGGTCCGCGCACCAAAAAAATTGGAGCAGCCGGATGTCTGGGTTCGCAGGTTTCGGCTTAGAGAGGTTTGTTTGCAGTTTGTTTAAGGCGTTCGAGTTTCCTGCTGAAGACTTGCCGAAGATTTCGGCTGGTTCTCTCGATGGACCACCTGTAGCAGAATTGCCGAACCCAAGACCAGGATCATCAGCGCGGCAGTCGAAGGTGTTGGGCACAGCATTGGAGGCGACGACACTGAGCGCGATCGAAACCCCGTACGATGAACCACCACTAGTCCAAAGGCCCAGTCGCTCCATCGGCTGCACTGGCCCTCGGGCCAGGGAGCTATCGCAAATGCCTCGCCAAACAAGAACTCTGATGGCGATGAGGATGTAGAGTGGGAGGTTCCAGCGGAGTGGCGTTCTACGCTGATCCAAAATGGACCTTGCCTCCCAGGACCGCTGCCACGCCCGCAAACTGTAGCCATTTTCGCGAGCTCCTTGGAGGTCCAGCGTCCAGCGGAGTGGCGCAGTAGACGCAGACCCAGACCAGACCTCTCTCCGTGGGCGCAGCCAACAGCTCAAACTGTTTCCGCTGCCGTGGGTTCCTCGAAGGTCGGCCCAGCGAAGCGACGAAATGCACCTACAGATCCGCCGACCCTGTCGGCGTGTGGAAGGCGCTCTTCCGTTGGTCGCCGTCGTCGTCGTCGTGTCGTCTTCGTCGTCTCCTCGTCGTCTCCTCGTCGTCTCCGTCGTCGTCTGCGTCTCCGTCGCCTCCTCGTCGTCTCCGTCAATCGTCGTCCCCCGTCTCCTTTCCCGGGGCGTCCTCCTTAAGGGGGGGTCCGGGGCGGTCCCCCGGTCCTTGAGGGCCCCGAGTCGCCGAATTATCGGTCCAAGACGCCAGAGTAGCCTCCAGACGGCCCAAGAGGTTTTCAAAACGCCCCAAGAGGCCTCCCAGAGCACTCCCAAGAGGGCCCACAGGGTTAAAAATCACAGATGTTCCTTCAGCTTTTGAAACATTTTGGCGTTCTCGCCTTGTCGGCTTCCCGACGCTCCAAGACAGCACAAGAGACAAGAGGCCCCCAAGATCGCCCACGAGGCCTCCAAGAGGGCCCCAAAACGACCCAAGAGGGCCCCAAGACCGCCCAAGAGGCCTCCAAGGCAGCCCAAAGGCCCCCAAGACGGCTCCAGTGAGCCCAGACGGGGGACCCGAACGGACATTCGAGCCCTCGGCATGAGAGGCTCCCAGGAGGCCCCCGAAGCCCCCCAAGAGGCCCCCAAGAGGCCCCCGAGAGACCCCCAGGAAGCCCAAAGGCTCCCAAGAGGCCCCCAAGAGCCTCCCAAGAGGCCCCAAAACTAGCCCCAAGAGGCCCCCGAGAGCGCTCGTCGTCGTCGCCGCCACCGCCACCGCCACCGCCGCCGCCACCGCCGCCGTCGGTGTCGTCGTCATCGTCGTCGTCGTCATCGTTTAGGGTCGGCGGCACCGGCCGTAAGGCCTCTCCAACACGTCGTGTCTCTAGGGTGTCGCCTCGTGTTCGTTTGTAGGGGGCGCCCAAAACATGCGTTTCCCGTGAAGCTCGCAGACGAGACTACTGCCACGGGTGGCCGCCCATGATCCCCCACTGCGCTACAGCACACTCGCACGCTTCCACGTGTCCCCAAATGTGCGCGTGGCATGAAGAGAAGGAACAAGAGAGGGTCGGAATTGGAAAGCGAAGTGGAGGAAGGTGCAATACAGGAGAAACCGAAGGACAAGGAGAGGACGAAAGGATGAGACTGGGAGGAGCAATGGTGGGGGGAGGGGAAGGAGAGCGAGAATTAGATGCAAATGTAGACGACTATGAGAAATGTATAATGGATGAGCGAGGGTGGATAATTGGAAAGGGGGAAGGGGACTTGCAACGGGGAGGGGGAGCGGGAATAAAAACAATGGGTTGAAACGCAGACAAGACATGCCAAAGAGAAGGGCGGATCATTAAGGCCATGGAAATGATTGAAGAAAGAGGAGAGAAGAAGACGCAAGCAGGATAAGAAGGACCAAGTCGAGAGAAGGGGGAAGGAAGGGGCAGAGAGAGATGAATGAGGAGGGAGAAAGGAACAAGAAGCAGAGAAGCAAAGCAGGGAGGAGGACGACCAGGGGGAAAAATGAGCCAAGAAGGATCACAGAGAGGCAGCATTGAGGCATGTTTGGGACTGTAGAGTGGGTGCGGCCGAGGGCAAGGTACAAGAACCAGCGCAAGGAGAGCTCCGTGCGGAAAGAGGGGCATGGACATGTTGACCGAGCATGTGAATGTAGAGAGGCTGCTCCGTTCTTCTCCGCACCCTGCCCCCTTCACCCCCATTCAGCCCAGCCCCCCCCACCCACACCCTGCCCCGACCAACCCGTCCTCCTCTTCCTCCTCCTTCTCCTCCTCCTCCCTCCTCTTTCTTCTCTCCTCTTTCCTCTCTCCTCCCTCCTCCTCCTCTCTTCCCCCTCTCCTCCTCCCTCCTCCCTCCAGCCTGATAACCGCCTCCCTCCCTGTGGCTCCCGCATCTCCCCCCCCCCTCCTCGGAGCAAGGGGCGAGAGAGCAGGACGAGGAGAAGAAGGAGTCAGGGGGCAGAAGAGAGATGAGAACATGGAAATACTCCAGATTCCGTAATAAAAGGGAGGGGGTCTCAACCCTCCCAGACGAGAAGTTTCACACCTCCCCCGTGGGAGAACCCTCCAAAACATCGTCCCCAGACCCCCCAGGCCCTCCAAGACAGCCTGGAAGAGACCCCCCCCCCGAAATGAGACCTCCCTCCCTTTCTTACGAACTCTGGAGTATACCTGTGTCTTCACAAAGAGTTCTCTTCATCCGAACAGGGAATGGGTGGGAGGCCAACAGGCGCTCAGCAGGGTGACCGAGACAGCAGAGTAGCCCGATGCGTATTCGGCCGCCACCGAGCATGCAAATTGTCGGCACGTGCATCCCCGCAACCTCTCGGCCAGTCGGCGCGGTTGCCTCGACCGTGCAAAAGTCGAAGGAGAGAGGGGCCGAGCGGAGTAGGACGGCCCGGGCGTCCGCCCAACGGCATCGCCCGACCTGGCCTGCAGTTGTACACCATGACGCGAGGAGGCGGAGGGGGAAGGGAGAGGAGGGACGGGAGCACAGCGCCCTGCATCCGATGGCGATCCACATCCTACGCCTCCACCTTCTCCTCAGACTCTCTCTCTCTCTCTCTCTTCCTCCTTCCCATATCCGCATTCATCCTCGGAGCGTCCGTGTTTGAAGCGCTGGCTCGCGGCACGGTCGAGGCGTCGCAGATGGCAGACCTGAAGCCCTTTGAGGCAGGCGGGGTAGGTAGGTGCGTTCGAGATGAGGAGCACGAAGTGGAGAGACGGACGTGCGTGGTCAGCCAGTCGCCAATGTTACTACAAAAAACTGGCGCGAATTCATCCCTCATGCACTCATGCAGAACGCGGCGCTGTAAGACGTCGCGCAGGAAATGCTTGCCGACCAACCCATTGCCGCGCCCCCTCCCCTCCCCTCCGTTCCACCACCCTCTCCTCCTCCTCCTCCTCCTCCTCCTCCTCCTCGCCCCCATGCCCTGGCCGACGCCCCG